AGAAATATATAAGTAAATCTAAGCAATGTATGTATAAAAAAATATATATATCTACAAAATTTCTAATATTCAATAACAAAAAATACTTAGTTAAGCAAATGTCATGATCTGGCCTGTTTGCTCTCCGTTAATTAGTCATTCCTTTCACCTGTCGTTTTCCCTCCCTGCCTTAATTATAATTTATTCCTCTCACCTGTTTCCTGTTGGTTATATTCAGTTCAGCCTGAGCATTCAGGGCCAGATCATTTCTTGTCTTTCTGTCAGCCTGTCGTTTTAGTTTCAGTTTTTGTTCATGGTTCATGTCCTGGATCCTAGCTGCCAGTGGAAAGAGGGTTTTAGTGTTTGTCTCGTCTCCTGATCGTCCACTGTTCCTCCCCCCGCGGAGTCCTCTGCGGTTTGGCTCATTATGTGGGGAGGTTCAGTTTTTATCCAGTAAGCCTGGCTCCAGGTAGGAGATCAGTTTAAAGCCCTGCTTCAAGTTCCGGTTCCTACGTCCTGTCTCGGCTACCCTCTGCCACTGAGCCTGCCTGTCTGCACCTGATCCTGTCTGCTCCTGTGCGTGTCCACCTGGTCATGCTTCTGGTCCCAGTCAGACTCTGAACCCTCCTGGGAGCCTGTGGATGCCTGGAAGTCTGGATCCTGTCACCTGTTTCTGTTCCTGCCTGATCTGGATCCCTGACCAGGATCATCTTCCAGCATGTCCTCTGGGACTGCAGCACTGGGACATTCTTGGTCTGGACTGTTAAACCAGGTAAGTGACCAACTCAGATAATCATATATCAGTTGATTGTGGTCACTTACCTGTGTTTCTCCCACTACAGAGTGTCTGAGATTGGGCGGTGCCCCGCCCCCCCGCCTGCAGTGTCCACGAGCCACAGCTCCGCTTTAGTTTTGTTTTATTTAATAAACATTTTGAATTAAAATTAAAATCCTATCAGATTTATAGTTATTGCTGATTTTCTTCGTTTGCCCACTAATAAAGATGTGATCATTCTGCATGTTTAATGGTAGATGTATTCCAACATGGAGAGACAGAATATCAAAAAGAAAATCCTGAAAAAAAAATCTAAGGAATATATATATATATATATTAATTTGTATTTCATTGAGGGAAATAAGTATTTGATCCCTCAGTATGCATTAAGAGTTCTGCCTTTCACAGAGCAGTTAGACACTCCCAATCAGCTTGTTACCTGAACTGAAGCCACCTGTTCTCACTACTCACTAGTGTGAAAAACACCTGTTCACAGAATCAGACAATCTGACAGATTTCAAGTCTCCAACATGGGTAAGACCAAAGAGCTGCCTCAGGACCTCAGAGTCAGGATTGTTGACCTCCACAAAGCTGGAATGGGCTACAAAAAGATTAGCAAGGTGTTGGATGTGAAAGTAACAACTATTGGTGCAATTGTTAGGAAATTTAAAGAGTATAACATGACCATCAACAGACCTCGGCCTGGTGCTCCAAAGAAGATTTCACCTCGTGGGGTGACAATGCTATTCTGTCTCTCCATGTTAGAATACGTCTACCATTAAACATGCAGAATGATCACATCTTTATTAGTGGGCAAACGAAGAAAATCAGCAAGGGATCAAATACTTCTTGGACTCACTGTATATTAGAATCTGTCCTTAAATTCCAGCCAAACCCATTTGCACAGTAACAGATAAAAACCTTTAGATAAA